CCGAGTCCCCCCCAACACCGCCCGCGCGGCCGCATTTTGGACCAGCTGGAGCCTCCGGGTGCTCCTCAAGGGGAGCCCCATGTAGAGAGCATTACAGTAGTCCAGGCGGGAGGTGACAAGTGCGTGAGTGACCGTGCGTAGGGCGTCCCGGTCCAGAAAAGGCCGCAACTGGTAAATCAGGCGAACCTGATAAAACGCCGCCCTGGTCACGGCCGACAACTGGTCTTCCAGCGTCAGCCGCGAATCCAGGAGGACGCCCAAGTTGCGTACCCTCTCCGAGGGGGCCAAAGTTTCGCCCCCTATAGTCAGCGATGGAGTCAGCTGACTATGCCGAGACGCCGGTAACCACAGCCACTCGGTCTTGGACGGGTTGAGCCTGAGTCTGTTCCTCCCCATCCAGACCCTCATGTAATGTGTTGACATGTAATATATACTTCCATATTTACAAACCAGTATGTAGAAAATCACATAACGAATTAGTTGAGCAATGGAATATACTTACAGATGTACCTATTTACATGTGTGAACTTATGCAAAAAGAGATCTTAAACTTATTAGTTTATGAGATTCCCTTGAATATTAGTGAAACTCTTTGATCAAAAAAATAATTAATCCTTCTAGTATAATGAGACTTCCATTAGTAACTGATTAGATTATATTAACCTTGGTGCATTAAATTAATGGTATATAAACATTTGATAACATGTTTAATGAATGGAATCTATGGGTATAAATGTGGTATAATAAAGCAGTGGTAAGTCTATGGCCAGCCAGATACTTCTTAAACGCAAATCTCAATAGCCTCAACCAATATGCTTAATGATGCTAGAAGCTGCAATTCAGGAGCATTTGGAGATCCACAAATGCTCACTGGTACTCATCAATCAATGCTAAATTCAATGGAGAGTGAATGTGATTCATTTAATAGTTGCAATTAGGGATAGATCTGATATTTGTCTAAAAGCCATTTCCCTCTTGGCCAGATTGACTAGATTCACATATCTCAAGACATAATCCACCACCGGATTGTTAGGTGTTCCATTATACTATGACAAAATCAAACCAATCATGTTCTGGCTTAACCCAATGACCATTTAACACTGAACAAAGTTATATGCAACAATCCAAATTCCCAATTTGTAAATATTGGGCTAATGAACTCCCTTACAAGACACAATAACAGTACAAAGCTTTTGCAAATTAGTAATTCTCTGTGCATCAGTATACTAGGCAATTATGCTGGCAAAGCCAGTACAATGGACATTTAAGATGAAGGTCATTGCAAAGATATTTGGCTAAATTATCAATAAAGACACAGGAAACTGTTAGGGACAATTAAGTAGGAATTAATCATTTTAAACTGAGTGGTCAAGTTTTTGGTGTGAAATTGGCAAAAAAAAAAACCTATTTAAAGCCTTAATAAAACATTATTTTTCATCTTTGTATAAACGACAAAAATCATATAAATATAACATAATAGGAGCTGTCTTTTTAAACAGATTTCTTAGGTATTGAACTTGTTACGCGTAGCGAAGCACCACACCCAAATGAATATTAACATGTTTGCAGTCCACATTTCAACCCCACAGGGGGAAAAAAATGGCTTTAAACAGTTTTGTTTTTCATATGTTTGGAACAAGGATTACAATCTTCAGTATAAAAGGAAACAAACTAACCATTTACTGACCTCCTCCACCGGTAGAGTCCAGTGTAGATTATGGCTATCAGGAAAGGAATCAGTTTGGCCCCAAGGGTCTACTTAACACGCTTTCATATAAGGGTTTTTTAAAAATTCAGAAGGAAAGAATAGGTGGGCGAGAGTAGAGAAAGAGAAGAGTGGTTACCTGTCTTGGTTTAAAATCCCAGTGACCTTGTTGCTGTTGCCCTCGGCCAGAGAGCCGTGGAAATGCTATCCTCTGTTGCGAAACATGTCCCAGACAGACCCTCAGGCCTATGCAGAAGGCCAGCCACCCAAGGCTG